TTCGCTGCCAGAAACTGCACTTGCTCAACTTAGCGAAAAGCTTCTGCTCCCGAAGCTTCTCCAGAACCAACCTCAAGTGAGTCGCATGCTCCTCCTGACTCCTCGAGTATACCAGAATATCGTCAATGAAAATGATGACAAACACGTCCAAATACTCCCTGAACACGTCGTTCATCAATCTCATGAAGGCTGCCGGCGCGTTAGTCAAACCGAAAGGCATAACCACGAACTCAAAATGCCCATAACGCGTCCTGAAAGCAGTCTTCCTGACATCTGCCTCATCTATCGGGATCTGATGATACCCCGATGCCAAGTCAATCTTGGAGAACCAAGTAGCACCCCTCAACTGATCCAACAACTCATCAATCCTCGGGAGTGGGTACCTGTTCTTCACAGTGACTCGGTTAAGACCTCTGTAATCGATACAAAGTCTGAAACTGCCATCCTTCTTCTTCACAAACAACACTGGTGCTCCCCACGGTGAAACACTGGTCGAATGAACCCCTTAGACAAAAGGTCCTCTATCTGCTTCTTCAGCTCTGCCAACTCAGCTGGCGCCATCCTGTAAGGCGTCTTCGATATCGGTGCTGTCCCCGGCTCTAACTCAATCGTGAAAGGATCAGACCGAGATGGTGGTAATCCCTTCAGTGACTGAAAGACATCCTCAAAATCCTGGACAACCTCAATATCTCCCATAACAACTCCAGCTCCTGACTCAGACATAGAAATCGTCGCCAGATACGCCTCACAGCCCCGCTCTAACAACTGCTCGGCCTGAATAGCAGATATCACAATACTCCCGGAAGTCGGTCTCACTCCCTGATAAACCAACCTCCCTGCATCTCGCTCGAAGACCACTCTACCTCTGTAGCAATCCAGATGAACTCTGTAGTGTGACAACCAGTCCATCCCGAGAATAACGTCATACAGCTCCACCGGACTGATGACTAAGTCTGCTGGCATTGACTGCCCCGCAATCTCGATCTCGACTCCTCTAGCACGGCCCAAAGTAGACAAGAATCCACCTCCCGCCACCTTGACCATGCCCGCGCTCTCGCCCGCGCTACTCCGGATGCCACTCTTCTCGGCACGCTCCGGTGTAATGAAGCAATTCGATGCTCCAGAGTCGAATAAAACGTGGGACTCAAAACCGCCCACTAACAAGGTCATTACGAAACACATGCGTTGAGAACCTCAACAATTTATCACAGATAAATGAACAACACACAGCAACAACAACCATTATGCCCTCGATGGCCCGCCACCACAAATGTGCATCTCCACTCAGATAGTGGACTGCCAACTCAACCTGGTACTAAACCAGAAATCTGATAGACTGGAAATTCCGCTCCAATCTCTGACGCCACTCATCTGCCGCCTCTGGGCTAACTCCGCCCTCAAAGTACGGCGTACCAATCCTCTGCATGTGCCCCACATATCCAAGTAGGACGGCACCATCAAACCCACAGCCTGCGGCTGAACAAATCCCGCAGCCCTCTGCTGCACCTCTGCCACTGGAGGTACTCCCGGAGCCCCCTTGTGGAACCACTGGCGGAAAACGAGCCAATAACTGCGTCAGCAAACCCACCACTAAGTCATCAAGACCCTGAGCCGGAGCACCACCCCAACCCGGAGCAGCCCCCGCTCCCAAACCAACACTCGCATCCACACTGGCCTCACTCGCCACGGATACCGACTGGGTCACCGACGCAGTCGCCACACTCGGCACCACACTCTCTCCCGAATCCGCCGAAGTCCACAATCTCGGCCCCGACCTCCACGGCCTCTAGCTCTGCCACCACGGCCTCGAGCACCGCGCCCTCTCGCGCCACAACCTCTAGCTACTCCGTCCATCTCACTCATGGAACCGAAAAGAGCACACTAGAACACGCAACCAAAACTCAAAACAAACATAAACTCACCGCGGAATCTCTTGTAGCTGAAGGGGATGATACTAAAGCCTAGCAATTCTAACAGTCCTAAAACCGTCTAGGCTCTGATACCAAAATGAAACAACCAACATTTTTTTTTTTAAATAAATATAATCAATTCTAGCGAAGGTCTTTAAAATAAATTAAATAAATAAATATCAATAACAAATAAATCAGTTCAGCGGAAGCAAATAATAATTAAACAAGTCTAGCAAAATAATGCAAAACAATAAAACAAGTAAACATCCTATCATCCCCCTCTTCAGCCTTGATTCCGCGATCACACAAATCTTTTACCTGCAACACATTGGAATGGAGTTGCGTAAGTATTTAATAAATACTTAGTGAGGCAATCACTCTGCCTACGAGCCATTTACGCAATTTACTAGATATTTAATAATATTTATAAACTCAATAATTATTAAATACCATTTTCCAATTATTAAATAATTTTAATAATTAAAACTCAATTTCTCAATTATTAAATAATTCTTATAATTAAATAATAATTTTCCATATTTTAAAATAATTAAAATAATTATTTTAAATCCAATTAATTAATTAAATTAATTATTAATTAATTAAATCCGAAAATAAATCAAACAATTTAATTAAAACCATTTTAATTCAATTACACTAATTAACCAGAATCAAATCAATTACACTCACCTTGACAATAGATTGAAACTGAAGGAAAAAGAAGACGATGAACAGTGCCGAATCGCGGATGAACAGTATCGATGAACAGTATCCGATGAACAGTCCCCGATTAACATATCCGATGAACAGTAAAATCGGATTTTTCCAGGAACTCTCAAAATCGCCTTTCTCCTTCTCTGCCTCGAAAAACGTGATATACAGACGGCTGCTTCTCCTTTAAAACTAAAATGTGGAACTAGTCCTTAAGAACATGCGCTTGGCCAGATTCTTCTCTCATCTTATGGAGTCATACAGGGAGCTCACTTGTGAGTTCCTAGCGTCTATGAGAGGTAACAACATTGACTTCAGCCCTCCACTTCACACGTTAGTTGGGCATGAAGAGGAGTTGCAAGAAGAGGAGCCTGAACTCGATCGAGTTGAGGATCGAGTTGAGGACCACGCTCAAGTGAATGCGGAATTGGGTGAGCCTGAGTGTTACTATCTCGAGGAGTATGAGGCTCCAAGGATGAACCCCTCTGCTGTGGCTGCTCACAAAAGGATTGGACTTCTCCAAAGGTTCAACAATTGGCAAGGGAAGGCCATGGACAAAATGCAAAAGTCCATGGACAAGATGGTGAGCAAGATCAAGAGTTTGGAGAAGAAGGTCTCTAGTTCTTCAAGCAAGAAGAAGAAGACACCCAAGGCTCCTACATTCCCTAGGAGTAGATTTCTCCTCACCACTCCAAGGAGGCTTCCTGTCCAAGAGTCCCACAGAGCCTCATCTTTTGAAACAAGGGAAGGAGGAGACAACACGCAGAGAAGGAGGAAGAGTTCCAAGGGACGATGCTCCAACTCGATCAGCGGACTCGATCGAGTTGGCGATCGAGTTGACCTGGGAGAGCCTTCATTCGAGAACCCTGGATTCGAGCACAATCCAGCACCTTACCAGGACTATCCTCAGAGCCACTGGACCCCTTACAACCGCTTCGAGCAAACCAGGCTCCACCAGGGCCAAGGAAGCCACACCCACTTCGAGGATGAAGAGGTGGTAGAAGAGGAAGAGCAAGCTCGACCGAGCTGCACAAATGAAGTCGAGTGGAGTGCTCCTGATGGACGCCTGCCCTCTCCAGACCACGACCTTGCCTCCCAGTTCTTTGGGGGGCACTTGTTGGACCTGGATTTCCCTCCAGAAATCCGGCCCATAAGACCCATCACCTAAGCCCTAAGGTCAAGATAAGTCCATCCAGGCCCAGTAAAATGACCTCGAGCCCACCAAGTATCTTTGTCCAACACCAGCTGTTTACTGTCCGAGCTACTTGTGAAGACGAAGTCGAGCTGTAGCTCGACAGAGTCAAGTCCGAAAGCCGAGTTTGAACGAGTCAAACGAGAATCTCGCTTCGACCGTTTAGATCCGGAAATAGCGGGATCGGTAGTTGCACGTGGACGAGATACGCGGAGGAGGTTGCGATCTACTTCGAGCTATAAAAGGAGGACGATTCTTGATCACAAGGCAGAGAATGTTCTTTTGGAAACAAGTCTTTAGGAGACAAGATTTCCTTTGATAAAAAATCACTGCACAAGTTCTTCTCATCATCTTTTCACAGCTGAAATAGAGTGAAGTTCTTCTTCTTCGTCTTGAGATATTCTCATATCTTTTCTCTTCGATCTTATCCTTGATCTTCGAGATAACCCTAGAAAGCCCTGATCTTTCTAGCCGGAAATCACTTCCGGCAGAAGTTTGACGTAATCTCTTACCTTCGGATCACTCCGATAACCTGAGACTTATCGTCATCTTCACACCCCTTTACCTCTTTTCGTGGTCATTTCTCTTCAGAAAACAACCCGAAATAGAGAACAACTTACAATCGAACAAGGTTCTGGCTTGATCCTTAAAGCAGGGTACGTAGGCAGCTCGTTAACGAGTGCAACCACCACCTCATTTCCATCTCGTTTGCTTAGTCAAATCTTAGTGTTTTACATGGTCTTTTAGGCCGGTTTTGTAACCACTTTATTCGATTAGCCTAAGTCCGATTTCGTCAAATATTTGTCTACGAATCATTCGACTTACATCAGAATCTAACCTCTGATTCCACAGGCAATTTCTCCCTACAAAATACACAAAAATTTTGAGTGTAGTTTTCCGAACCCACAGCACTGAGGTATCAAACACAACCCTTGTAATACCATTTCATATTTTCTTGCATTTGTTTTTTTTTTCTTGGTTTTGCCCTCTTGAATCTTTCACTAAATTTCTCTCACACAAGGGACTGTGTGATTTAAGTTTGGGGGAGGGTTCAAGAGATGATTTAACCTTGTTTTCTTTGTTCTTATCTTTTGCATAGAAAAACCAAAAAAATCATAAAATTTTCAAAAAATCCAAAAATATTTTCATCTTTTTGCATTCATATTTGTTAGATTGTTTAGGATTGCATCTTTCACTTGCATTGTTGATTTGATTTGAAAACTTGTTCATCATTTGCGATTTCTTGAGTGCCCTGTTTTTAGATTCTTTTGTGCATTAGGGTGAGATTGATTGAGCAGCAAGAACCATGTTTATCTTGATCATATCACTGCATGCACATCTCATTCAACCATTGCTGTGATTTGATGCATTTCCCTATCTATTTGAACCATAACTTGATCTTTAATTACCAATGCTTGCATTTGATTTCAACTCATGGCTACCACATACATATCTGGACATTCTTTACCTATTTTCATATCCCTCTTGCTTGTCCAGATAGCTGATCTCCATCTTTGAGACAGTTACCACACCTTAAACCTAAGCCTTTTTCATTTCAAACCCCATATTATCTCTTGTGCGAATTGTGAGAACCTTTCTTGGCTTTGCTTAGCATAAGGTGTTGTGTTTAAACCGGCAGGGGCAGTAGTTCTAGTTGTCTAGTTCTCTTGGGATTGTTTTCAGGCTAAGTTTGGGGGTGCCAACTCGAGCTCGATCGAGTTGGGTGTAAAAACCAGAAAAGTGGTAAAAGTTGGGAAAATCCAAAGGAAAAAGAGTTTAGTTAAGTCCAGGGAGTTGGCAGTGTTAAAAAGGGTCTAGTAAAGGTTTGGGAAGTTAAAAAAGGAAGTAAAAAGGGTTCTAAGTAGAATGAAAAGAAGGCAAAGCCTCAAGTGTCAAAAAGAAAAGAAAAGTTCCCTAAGTGTTTAGAAAATCCCAAACCGCTAGATGTTACCTCAAGAAGCCTCTCCCTAGGAAGTTCTTAAAAGAAAAGTGAGCAAAGCTCCTCAGTTTCAAAGGCGAAATGCCAAAAAGGGTAGTTAGGATTTTGTTCTAAAAAGCTCTAAGTGTTGAACTCGATCGAGTTAGGATTAGGCGGCTCGAGCTGCTGTTCTTGCATCATCTTTGGTTCTAACACTTAGCCTTCTGCCAAAGCAAAGCCACTTTCTTGAGAGATCCCTGTTACTAAACCACCATACAAAAGAGACCCTCTTTGTCTCTTAACCCATAAACCCTTGAAACCAAATGAGTTGATTGATCTTGCATGTTTTTGGTTCACTGTTTTTGCTTAATGAATGTTAAAGGGATTTGCTGATTTGAATGCATTGTTTGAGTGACTGTGAAGTGGGATTGATGTTGATAAGCATGGTTAAATCTTAATGAATATCTCTCACCTTGTTGCATTCTAGAATCTCTAAGTTGGACATTTAGCAAATCGCTTTTGAGGACATGTTTTTAAGTGTTGAATCAATTGTTTTCAAACCTCATCTCTTTCTTGTTCTATTTGTTTGCTTGAGGGCAAGCAAAGTCAAGTTTGGGGGTGTTGATGTACTTGCATTTTACATAGTTTTAGTACATCTTTTATGCATCTTTTGCATAGTTTTAGCATCCATTTAGCATCATATCTTGTTCCTTTTCTCTTCTTATGCATTCATAGTAGTTTTAGGTTGCATTTGCATACATATGCAAGGTTAAATCATCTCTTGAACCCTCCCCCAAACTTAAATCACACAGTCCCTTGTGTGAGAGAAATTTAGTGAAAGATTCAAGAGGCAAAAACCAAGAGAAATAAAAACAAATGCAAGAAATATGAAATGGTATGTACAATGGTTGGTGTTTGATACCTCAGTGCCCCCCAAAGATCTGGGAGGCAAGGTCATGGTCAGGAGAGGGCAGACGGCCGTCAGGGACGCTCCACTCGGCCGGGTTCACGCCGCTCGATTGAGCTTGCGGCTCCTCTTCTTCCTCTTCTTCATTGAAGTGTGTGTGGCTCCCTTGGCCTTGGTGGAGCATGGCTAGCTCGAACTGTCCATAGGGGTTCCACCTGCTCTGAGGATACTCCTGGTAAGGTGTTGGATCGTACTCGAACCCAGGGTACTCGAATCCTGACTCCTCAAGACCGACTCGACCATCAGCTCGATGGAGTTGAGTTTCCTCTGTTTGGACTCGATCGAGTCCTGTGGTCGAGCTGGAGCGTCGAGCCTTGGAACTCTTCCTCCTCCTCTGCGAGTTGTCTTCTCCTTCCCTTGGCTCAAATGATGAGGCTCTGTGAGGCTCTTTGGCAGGAATCCTCCTTGGAGTGGTGAGGAGAGATGTACTCATTGGGAATGTGGGGGCCATGGTTGCCTTCTTCTTCTTGGATGAAGAACCAGAGACTTTCTTCTCCAAACTCTTGATCTTGCTCACCATCTTGTCCATGAACTTTTGCATCTTTTCAATGGCCTTCCCTTGCCATTTGTTGAACTTTTGAAGGAGCCCAATCCTCTTGTGAGCAGCCACAACAGAGGGGAATCCATCATCTTTCCAAGGTTTGGAGTACCTAGAATAGTCATAAGTGATGGAGGTTCGCATTTCATCAACAGAATCTTTGCAAATCTTTTGAAGAAGCATGAGTTACTCACAAAGTCGCCTCTCCTTACCACCCTCAAACTAGTGGACAAGTCGAAATCTCAAACAGAGAACTCAAGAGCATACTTCAGAAGACAACAGGAAAGACAAGGAAGGATTGGAGTGCCAAACTAGATGATGCTCTATGGGCATATCGCACTGCTTTCAAAACACCACTTGGTACCACTCCCTTTCACCTTGTTTATGGTAAAGCATGTCATTTACCTGTAGAGCTGGAGTACAAAGCAGCTTGGGCCATTAAAAAATTGAACTTCAACCTAAAGACAGCAGGAGAAAGAAGATTGATTCAGCTAAATGAGCTTGATGAGATTCGACATTTGGCTTATGAGAATTCAAAGATCTATAAGGAGAGAACCAAGGCTTTCCATGACCGCAAGATCATTCCAAAGAACTTCGCGCCAACGACCAAGTTCTATTGTTTAATTCACGGTTGAGACTCTTTCCGGAAAGCTTCGCTCAAGATGGTGAGGACCATTTAGAATAAAAGAAGTTCACCCCTATGGAGCAGTGGTACTATGGGACCCAATGGGAGGAGACTTCACAGTCAATGGGCAAAGGTTAAAACCCTACTTAGCCTCCGCCACAATACCGCCAAAGACCACACTCACTCTTGGCGACCCACCAATCCTTAAAAAGTGCCATACAGTCAAGCTAATGACTTTAAACAAAGCGCTAAATGGGAGGCAACCCATTGAAGGTCATTTCTTTTTATTTCTTTTCTTTATTTTTCTTCTACTTTGAATTTTACCTCTCACCTTAATGTGATTTGCTTTCACCGGGACGGTGCAAGTTAAGTATGGGGGGAGTTTTATTGTGTTACTAATGCATTTTTCTTTCTTTTCTTATGTTTTATTTACTTTGTTTCATGTTTCTTGTTTTATTGAGTCAAAACCAGTCCAGGAAGTATGAACTTGCTTTGAGACTTGATAGTGTTGTGCTAACAATCCATGACCCTAGAGCAGACATCAGCCAAAGGCACAAGCCTAACAGAAGCTCTTACAGTGGATCGACATGCTAGCTCAGCGAAATTTCTAAGGTAACCAAGCAATCTAGAGTTAACCTCACCCTTAATCAATCTTAATAACTCTTGTCAAGGGGATTGGCATACATGTCGACAGTTCTGATATACCTCTAATTTACCCACTTTTTATACTGTTTTAGCATTGTTTTCTAATGGTTTTTGGCAGGTTTTCTATCTAAAAAGGTAGTTTTACTGTGTTTATAGTGTCTAGAGTCTAAACAGGTGAAATGATGCATTTTGGAGCAAAACCATAGGATTTGCACTTCAAGCCGCTCCATGCACAAGCACCAACTTTAAGAGGGCCCAGAAAAAGATCTACTCAATGGATTTCATCAAGACCAGTTCCCTGCGTGCTCTGATTGAGTTAACTTTCCAACGCAACTGGAACGGCCTAATTTGGATGAGTAGAAAAGGAGTTATAACCAAAAGAGTGAAGACTGTCCAGACGGCTCTATCGAGAATCAGCGCCCAACCGCGCAGTCCGGCTGGCCGAGAAACATGTTCGCGCTCGGCCAAAGTCATATCCGTCCGTCTGAAGTCTCGGCCAAAGTTCCAAACCGACCGGCCGATCACGCAACACGACCCGGGAAACATTGTCCCGCGGTCGGCCAAGCCAAACGCACGCCACGCCGCGCACGACCATGCCGCGCGAGCCGGGAAACAAGCCTCGCGGCCGCGCAACCCTTCGCGTACCACGGCCGATGCATCCGTCCGAGCCGGGAAAGAACGTCCCACGTCCGGCCGAGAAACATCGGCCAAATCTCATCCGCCGACCACGCCGGCCGACCGTGAATCCATCCGGCCACGACCGTTCCGACTCGGCCACCCGATTCCGGCCGATCGTCCCGACCCAAGCCCGTTTTGAAGCCCGATTTCATATTTTCAAGCCCGGCTTAACCCTAAGCCGCCTCAAAAGACCTAGCACTATATATATAGCTTTTTAGCCTCTTGTGAAAAGAGAGCCGCCCTTGTATTTCGATTTCCTACTCTAAGTTTTATTGCAATCATGTTTTCTTCATCTCTATGTGTGTTTGCTTTGATCATGTCTGAGTAATCCACTAGTTAGGTTGCTAGGGTTACTATTCAATGAGTTGCTTGCATGATCTTTGATTTCAATGATTAGCTAGGGATTATATTAGAGTCTTTGTCTCGTCTTGTGCACTTAACTAATGCTGATTGCTTTACCGCGCATCTAGTAATCCGATCTTAGGTTGATTTGAGCCTCGACAGTGCTGTATCATTCGCCGGACATATTCTTTGACAAGCTAGGTTTCTTAGACTGCGAAAGTTGATCTACTATATCTAGTGAACTGTATCAGAACCTATTCATTCTAAAGCTTGATTTAATCACCTAGGGACATACCAAAAGTTTAGCGACTAGGTAGATTAACAAAGGAGCCGGAGCCTCGAAAGTGGAATGGTTTTATATTCGTGATCTGTGTTCTAGACGGTTCTTAATATCCCAATATCCCTAATCAATTCATCTATCATTGTTTCATTGATCATTGCTTGCTTCTCTGCGATAGCCCCTATGACCTAGCGCTTTTCCTTTATTGATTTACAACCTCGTTATACTTGCTAGTTCGGTTCACCATTACAACCTCAATCATACTTTTGTTTTAGCTTGATCCAAAATCCATAGTTTCAAAGTGTACTCAATAGCCAGTCCTTGTGTTCGATACCCATACTTCCGCGATCTGTGCACTTGCAGAGGTCTAGGAGTTTGGTAAAACCTGACTCCACATCAAGTTTTTGGCGCCGTTGCCGGGGACTGCAGCAGTACCTTTGGAACTCGACTAGGATCTAGTCTAGAACCTTTTCCTGTTTTGCTTTTCTTTTGCTTTTGAATTTTTAGTTTTTGATTTCCTTTTCTTTGATTTTTGCTTTTGTTTTTGTTTTTCCCTTTTGATTTAACTTGTTTCCAAGACTCTTTTCAGGTGCATGACTAGGAGGTCCAACAAGGACAACCTAGTTGAACATCCAGAGATAGACAAGCTTGAGAAGCAACTTAGGAAGCAGAAAGCCCAAGAGATGGCCGACGAAGCAGCTCGCGCTCACGCCGCTGAAGTGGCGCGCGCTCAAGAAGAAGGAAGAGATCCACCTCCTCCTCCTCCTAATCCACAAGACCCTGCTGGAGATGTGAACGCACAACCCCAAGCCGGGAAACCTATGGAACATCTTCTATCGTGGCATAGACCACAAGTACAAGCTTTCATTGGACACAGCCAGCAATGGAAACTTCATGACCAAGACTGTTGATGAAGCTAAGGTTCTTATTGAGAATCTTGCAGCTAGTGATTGTAACAACTGTCCTGATTATGACCGCTCAAGCCGCACCACTACTAACTCTTTTGTTGACATGGTCCAAGAGGAGAAAGTTACTTTGAAGCCACCCCAAGAAGGAGAAACTGAAGAAACAGTCAAGGAAGATCCCATTCCTAAGCCCAAGCAGCTTGCCAAACAAGCAAGGAGTAAGACTAAGGCCCCTACACCAAAACCGCCCAAGGGATCAACCAAGATTGAAGATGAGGCCAAGCCAAGAAGGAAGGTTAGAAAACCTAGGTCTGGCCGCAACATGAAGCTTCTATTCCCAAAGGAGCTTATTGATGAGAATCTAGAAGGATTCAAGGAGAAAGTGACAAGAACTCTAAAGCTTTTTCCTAAGGCAGTAGTGCCAAGGGACATTCATGGAGAGATTGTCTATCCAGCTGTGAATCACCCACCAGATACTCATTGCAAGGAGAAAAGACTTGGAGGATCAAAGATGCCTCTTGTCTCCATCTTCTCCTGAGTGCCAAGCCTTACAGTCAAGCTAAAGACTTAAAACAAGCGCTGCATGGGAGGCAACCCATGAGGTACTTTTACTTTTCTTTCTTTAAATTTCTTAGTTTTTGTTTTGCTTTTGTGTTTTCTTTGTTTTAAGATAGGATAGAAGGAGAAAAAGGTGTGAAAACACAATCCGCGCCAAACATTGGCCGCGGACGCGCAAAAGTGAATTTTGGCCGAGCAATTCCATTCGGCCGACCGTTACGGTCGAGCCGGGAAGGAATAGCTTGCTCGGCCGGATTCACTCTATTGCGCGACAGAAACCGTTCGCGCGGCACGCACGAACCGGGAAAAAACAGGCCGCGATCGGCCGAATTTTCGTATCGGAACGGACCGACCGTGCGGTCGATCCGGGAAACAAACGCTCGGCCTCGGCCGAAATCTCTCGGCCAAACGAATTTGGCCGACCAAATCGCTCGACCGCGACAAAATCCATCGGCCATCGGCCAAAATTTTCTCGGCCAAGGTAAGTCCCCTTTTCATTAATTCAAACCGGTTTTAACCAATCTAAACCAACTTAAACCGGTTTTCAATCAAAATTCGAATTTGAAAAGGAAAATTGATAGGATTAGATCTTATTTACTTTACCTTTCCCTTGAAAACACAAGAACCTCTCTTTCTTCTCCAAAACCCTAAACTCCATTAGAGGAACTCTAAGAGTTTTGATTTCAAAACTTTTACTGTTCATAACTCTAAATTGGAATTTACTTGCTCTTGCAACCTTATTCACTTTTCAACACACAAGGTATGTCTTCTAACTCTAATCCTATGTTTATGCAAGATCGAAATTTCAATAAGTTTCATGTTTGGTCTAAACTCTTGTCTAGACTTGAAATTAGCATCCTTATTAGTCTTGTAATGAACTTTGCTAGGTGGAACCTAGGTGGTTTAGAGTTATTTGAAGTTTAATTTCACAATTGAATAGTTTTTCACAAAACTTATTGGGCATTCCAAACCCCTTATTCAAAGGTGAAATTGCTTAGGCATACTTCAATTCATTAGTTTATCTAGTGATTACTTGGATTAGAAACTCAATTTCTCTTGATTTGCTGAAAATTTTGATTTTAAGCACCATAATCTTGGGATGAACAGTAAAATCCGAAAATTAATTTGAAAAAGTGAAATTTCTATTTTGTCTCTTTGATTCATGATTAAGCCTTGAGTTGTTCCTTTATTCCATATCATTATTACAACTCAATTAGCTTATTCTTCTTTTGCATTAATCACAAACTCATATTTCTTCCCAAGAATTTGCTCTTGTAGGTACCCAATGGCAAAGACAAAAGGAAATGAGAGTATGAAGAAGAAGAAGAACCCATTCATGGAACCACCAAAGAAACAAATCAAGCTAGGGAGTAGTAGCTCCAATGCAAGAGCAGCAATACCAACTTCACCACATTCCATTGATGCAATCAAGAACATGTGGAGAGTCCAAGAAGAGGAGAAGATGATTGGGCACTTGTAACCTTTGTTGGAGAACAAAATCAAGACCCAAGAAAGTGTAAGAAGGCAATGGAGAAGGTGAACATCGAGCCATGTGTGAAGATGGACACCCAAACCCTTGATCTTCTCAAGATAAGAGATGATGTCACATGGTACATAAGGAAGCTAGGCTTGAGCAAGCTCTTCAAGCTAGAATGTAGTGAGTACTCACAACTCACCAAGGAGTTCCTCTCCACAGTAGCTCTTGCCTTTCCCAACCACAATGGAGACCAACCAGCTGGTGATGGACTCCTACTCTTCAAGATAGGCGATGCCAATGGGCGCATCTCCATCTCAGCTCTATGCCAACTCTTTGGACTTCCCAATGAGACAGCACATGACTTCAAGGAGAACTCAAAGAGGAAACAAGCTGCCTTTGCTGATTGGACACACTTTGCCAATGAACCATTCTTGCCTTCAAGGTCAAAGGTGTCTAGAATCACTCATCCAGCCATTCGCTATGTGCACCGCCTCATCTCCACCACTTTCCAATGCAAACAAGAAGCCAACAAGGTCACAACTGATGAGTTCTACATCCTCACCACACCATTCATCAAGCATGAGTACAAGGCCAACCTTGGACTTTTACTTGCCAAGACATTCATCAATGTGAGGAAGCTAGCTCAAGACTTGGAAGGCAACAAGAAGCTTTGTGTTCGTTTTGGGAGGCTTATCACGGCCATAGTACTGCATGTGGGGATTGACATTCCCAACTATGAGCCACTACCCAAGCCAACCCCTTTGGATCTCCATGCTCTTCAGCACATCCACTTCCTAAACCGTTGGACTAAAGACCCAACTCGGTTTTGCTATGAGTTTCCAATTGGTCCAGCCAACACTTCCCTTGTCTTGCTGCCACATGAAGACATCCCAAGCCTACGCTCAGGTGTTGTCACTTTCCAGCCCAATGAGGAAGACTTCTATGTTCCATCAAGTGAGAAACCATCATTCCCCATGCTCACCTATCGCACACTTCAGCATGCAGTCAAGACTCAACGCCGCCTCCAAGAACGCCATGTTCTCACTACTGGCATGGCCGCGCACCAAGCTCTAGACCGTGTTAACAAGCTGGAGAAGATAGTGGAATGCCAATCTCGCTTCATCTCACGCCTAGTTCGTAGTTCGCCACATTGCACCGGAGAGACTCTTTCGCCCTTCTTCCACCGCTAGAGAGCCATATGAGCCTGACCTTGGTGAGTTCTCACTAGACTCAGAGCTTGGTTCAGAAGGCGATGACCCCATAGATGAGGAAGAGAGTTCTTCTCACTGCCACACATAGTCATCTCAAGTGGTACTTAGTGCAATGGACACTTACAAATCTCCATTTTCTATCCCTATCTTATTTTAATGAATTTTTCTTTATTTTTCTTTTACTTTGAATATTACCTCTCACCTTAATGTGATTTGCTTTCACCGGGACGGTGCAAGTTAAGTCTGGGGGGAGTTTTATTGTGTTACTAATGCATTTTTCTTTCTTTTCTTATGTTTTATTCACTTTGTTTCATGTTTTTCAAAAAGTTTTATTGAGTCAAAAACCAGTCCGGAAGTTATGAACTTGCTTTGAGAATTGAGAGTGTTATGCTAACAATCCATGACCCTAGAGCAGAAACCAGCTAAAGGCACAAGCCTAACAGAAGCTCTTACAGTGGATCGACATGCTAGCTCAGCAAAATTTCTAAGGTAACCAAGCAATCTAGAGTTAACCTCACCCTTAATCAATCTTAATTACTCTTGTCAAGGGGGTTGGCATACATGTCGACAGTTCCTTGCTTGATTTTCAATAAGATTTGTCTAATCTTTAAAGAGTTCTCCTCTCTCTCCCATCCCAAATGGTAAGTAATGTTATGAGAAAAAGCTCAAAGAGCACAAGGAAAACAAGTAAGCATGAGGAATGCATATGTCTGTACCTTCATGTCTTATGGAATACCTTAGTCAAACAAGGAACAAGCTAAAGACTTATCCTGTGGTTGAAAGAAGGGTCAATAGAAAAAATAAAATGATACCCTAGAAAAGTAGGGAGAAATTGACCTTTCAAAGTTCTGATGTGAGAAAGAGAGAGGAAAAGAACTCATTGCACTTAAAGAGGCAATCTTGGAGAGATCAAGTGGGTAAGAACAAGTTCAATTGATCGATGTCCCCTTGATAAAGAATTCACGCTTTAAATTTATGCAAGAGGTTAGCAATAGAGAGTTTGGATTGCTGGATGAGACTAGTTGGGTTGGTATTGTTCGCTAAACTTGCAGGGTGTATGTGAAGCTAACCTTATGTTGTCTATGTTCATAGTGGAATACAGGAAAGGAACCTTTCACAGGATATTCAAAAGAGCAAGGGAGCTTCCACGTTTTCAAACCTCTTTCACGGATTTAGATTCTTTTTGCTTGAGGACAAGCAAAGATCTAAGTCTGGGGGAGTTGATATACCTCTAATTTACCCACTTTTTATACTGTTTTAGCATTGTTTTCTAATGGTTTTTGGCAGGTTTTCTATCTAAAAAGGTAGTTTTACTGTGTTTATAGTGTCTAGAGTCTAAACAGGTGAAATGATGCATTTTGGAGCAAAACCATAGGATTTGCACTTCAAGCCGCTCCATGCACAAGCACCAACTTTAAGAGGGCCCAGAAAAAGATCTACTCAATGGATTTCATCAAGACCAGTTCCCTGCGTGCTCTGATTGAGTTAACTTTCCAACGCAACTGGAACGGCCTAATTTGGATGAGTAGAAAAGGAGTTATAACCAAAAGAGTGAAGACTGTCCAGACGGCTCTATCGAGAAAGCGCCCAACCGCGCAGTCCGGCTGGCCGAGGAACGATGTTCCGCGCTCGGCCAAACTCCAACCGTCGAAGTCCGGCCGAGCACACGTACGACCCGGGAAACAAGTCCCGCGGTCGGCCAAGCACAACCATCCGCCACGCGCACGACCATGCCGCGCGAGCCGGGAAGTAACGCCTCGCGGCCGCGCAACTTCTCGCGTACCACGGCCGATGCATCCGTCCGAGCCGGGAAAGCCGTCCCACGTCCGGCCGAGAATTCATCGGCCAAATCTTCATCCGCCGACCACAGCGGCCGACCACGAATCCGTCCGGCCACGACCGTTCCGACTCGGCCACGACCATGACCCGATCCGGCCGATCGTCCCGACCGACCGTCCCAACGCCGCGGTCGACCCGAAGCCCGTTTTGAAGCCGTTTCACTATTTTCAAGCCCGGCTTAACCCTAAGCCGCCTCTGAAAGACCTAGCACTATATATATATTTTTAGCCTCTTGTGAAAGAGAGCCGCCCTTGTATTTCGATTTCCTACTCTAAGTTTTATTGCAATCATGTTTTCTTCATCTCTATGTGTGTTTGCTTTGATCATGTCTGAGTAATCCACTAGTTAGGTTGTGAGATTGATCAAAGAGTTCATGGTTTTCTGATCAATTAGCATCAGATCTTAGGTTTCATTCCCTCTTTCATTTAATGTCGATTTCATTGCATTTGATTGTGTATTTCATTCATGTGTAGTGAGTAGTCCATTTAGGGTTTAAGATGGGCTAGATTAGAGGATCTTTATGCTTAATCTCTTTGCTTATGTTCTTAATCTAGAAATCTCTCTCTTTTGGACAAGCTTAAGGCTACACAACCACTACCATGGTGTGTATGAGTGGGAAATCGCTTGAAAAGGTCCACTAAGAGCTCCAATAAACCTTGCTCTCGAAATGGAGTTCATAGGTGTTGGATGGGTTAGTTTGAGCAATGATCCTACTGCCTCCAAGGCTTGATTCTCACTGGCTAACCCCCTGTTTCTGAGATCTTGCCTTGGATGATAGCTTTCACCTTGGGAAAGGGTTAGCTAGGCATTGAGAAGCTCAATATCAAGAGATAGCCTTGATACAAGTGTTTAAGAGCAAGATTGATTAAGTATAGTTTCCTTTGTCAAAACCCTGTCTTAGACCCTAATATTCGCATTAGCTCTTAAAGTTCGCTCTTTATCGCTTTTACTCTGTTTTTACTCAACTCGACCCTCAACTCGATCGAGCTGTTACTCTGTTCTACTCGATCGAGCCTTGGTCGAGCTGCTTTCTTTACTGCTTTCTTTTACTTTATGCACTGCATTTCATTTCATTAGGTTGTTAGATTCATCCCCTTTATTGTACTGCTTGACTTTCTTGTGTTTGCATATTCAAAGAGCAACATCTCACCCTTTTGGATTGATAACCTCTTATACTACATGACTATGATGGTTAAGAGGAATTGATTGATTGTGATTGCACCATACCATCTCATCTTTATTCACCACTGTTTGCATTCCACCTCATATCACATATCACACACAAATCCTATCATCAATTTGGCGCCGTTGCCGATTTGGGTTGAATATTGTTGCATTTGAGTTTCCAAACACTTGGACGATCAAGCTATCCCACCCCTGTTCTTTGTATTGCTGGGTTTTTGATTCTTTTGCAGGTGTATGCGAACTCGATCGAGTCGAACAACTGAAGACTTGGTCGAGCTAGATTTCACCACGGGTAGAAAGAGAAGTCAGAGAACTCAGAGGGTACAAGAGGAACCTGAGGTGCTTGTTACTGAAACCATGGATGTACCAGAGGGTAATGGAAACCCTTTGGGTAATGGACTCGGTCGAGCTAGGCAACTCGACCGATTGGTCTAGGAGATGCTCCAAACCGCCATCAACAAAGACAAGGGATTGTCCCACCACCTGTCAGAACCACAACTTTGAGATCAAGCTGGGTATGATCAACCTTGTGCAGAACAAGATGTTCCATGGATTGCCAAGTGAAGACCCCATTGATCACCTTGATGAGTTTGATAGGTTATGTGATTTGACAAGATCAATGGTGTCTCTGAAGATGCCATCAAGCTGAGACTCTTCCCTATGTCTCTTGCTGACAAGGCTCACCAATGGGAGAAGAGCTTGCCCCATGGCACAATCACCACTTGGGATGAATGCAAGAAGGCCTTTCTTGCTAAGTTTTTCTCCACCGGTCGCACAGCCAAGCTAAGGAGTGAGATATCAAGCTTCATCAGAGGAACAATGAGACTTTTGCTGAGGCTTGGGAGAGATTCAAGAGCTACACAAGTCAGTGCCCCATCATGGCTTCAACAATGAGTCTTTGCTCTCTACTCTCTATAGAGGTTTTTGGCAAGGTATAGAGAGATGTTGGACACAGCCAGCAATGGAAACTTCCTTAATCAGGATGTGGATGATGGCTGGCAGCTTGTGGAAACATTGCAAACTCCAATGGAAGCTATGGAGAAGAGTATGATCGCACCAACCGGAGCTCGACCCACCACTCGATCGAGTCGACGAAATTGAGAAAAGATGTCAAATCATTGAATGAGAAGTTGGATAAGCTTATCTTAGCTCAGTCCACAATGAAGAAAGTCAATTTTGTGTCTGCTGAAGAGATGGAACCAGTCCAAGAAGGGGAGGATACACAATTTGCTGAAGTATGTTACATGAGCAATGGGCAAGGAGGTTACAACAAAGGATATATAATTACAAGTCCAACCCAGCCATGTCATACAAACACTGATGTTGCCAACCCTCAGGACCAGGTCTACCCTCAACAACAGCAAGCTCGATCGAGTCAAGCCCCTCAACATGGGTATGGTCCTAAAAACAACTACCAAGGCCCTCAAGGGACTTTTCCTGGTCAGCAAATGCACATACCACCTGGCTTTCCCCACCAACCACCCCAGCCTGCACCTACACCTGAGCATGAGCTCAAAGTATGTTGAAACAATTGCTTCAAGGTCAAGCTGATGGTGTTGTGGACACAAGCAAGAAGTTGGCTGAAATCAACTCCAAGATTGAGAACCTCAACACAAGAGTGTACTCTCTGGAGAATCATGCTTCTTCTGTGCTGCTGCTACAAAGCAAGGACAACTACCTGGTAAAGCTGTTCAGAACCCCAAGGAACAGTGCAAGGTCATCTTCACTCAAGAAGGGCTTGATGAAGAAGAGGATCAAGAAAGAGTCATGGAAGAGTTTTGTTGCTGCTGAATGACGACGAGATTGTTGCTGCTGAGGCTCCTGGAGTCCAGATTGATCAACCTGAAGTGCAGCACTACTGTAGCCTTTCACACTTCACCAGTTGAGCTCGCACAACAAGCTCGATCGGCAGCTCGATCGAGTCGAACTCTAGCTCGATCGAGTCAGATATCATCCGTACTCAAACCGATTTTGCTTGATCCTTACCAGCCAGTTGATCCATCATCAGGCCGCCTACTCAGTCAAAGCCATAAGGAAGTGATTCACAAGTTCAGAAGAGACCTTAGTGATTGGATTGAGTTGCCTTCATGGAAAGCATGAGTGAGGCATTTGAACAAATGAAGTTGATTCAAGATGTTATGGCTAACAAGGAAAAGGTAGTTGACTCAAGATGTTATGGCTAACAAGGAAAAGGTTTCACAGCTTCTGGAGATGTCTACTCACTAAATCAACCTCCTTACCTCACCTACTTTCTTACCAAAGGTGAAGGATCAAGGGAAGTTCCACTACAAGAAAACATGCCAAATTCCGACCGAATTTTCCGACCGCATGAACCGTCAGAAAATTTCTGATCGATTTCCGACCATTTTGTAACAAAAATATTAATCGGTCAAAAAATGGTAGGAAATTTCCGACGACTAAAAACGGTCGGATATTGGTCACTATTTTCCAACCGATTTCGGACCATTTAATGAGCGTTGGAAATATGGTCAGAATATAATTGGAAATCGGTCAAAAATTTCTGACGACTAAAATCGGTCAGCAAATGATCACCCGTTTACAACCGATTTCCGACCATTTAACGAGCGTCGGAAGTATGATAAGAAAACAGTCGAAAAATGGCCGGAAATGTCTGACGGCTAAAATGGGTCTGGAATTGGTCACAAATTCCCAACTGATTTCCGACCACTTAATAATAAAACAAGTCATTTAACCTAAAACAATCTGTTCTTATCCTCATTAGCTCACGATGATTTAGGAATATTTTTTACGCCTCCTTCTTCTTCCTCTTTGTCTTCTATCATCAACACATCGTTCTTTCTCTATGTTTGAAGCATACCACTTCTCCAATCTCCTGCTAGAAAATCTTCCTCTTCTTCTTATACCATCTACAGATCTACTCATATTCTTCATTCGTCCTAATCTTCTTCATCTCAGATTTAGCCATAGCAAATTTTCAACCAGTAAGATTCGCCTCTTTTTGCTTGTCTCAACTTTCATCTTCTTCTTCTTTTCAGATCTCGTATCCAATTACATTGTGTTTTCATTTTGTAACTTTATTTGCATTTGTCTATTGTTTGATATCGATTTCTGTCGTGTTGCTCCTGGTCCAAAAACTAACAAAATTTCTTTTCTTTTTTAACACCGACTAACAAATTCCCCATATCTTTAACATTAACCAAAAGTAACAAAATCTTTGATAAATTTAATTTGATTTTTAATTCACTTCAGTTTATTTACTCTGTTTTTTTGTGTGTTACTATGTGTAGATTATAAATCTTCTAAGTTGTGAGAGGATATACTCGTGGCTCACGAAAGACTTTGGAGCTAGACAATCCGGGAAACTCAAGACAACTTTGAAGAACGCCAAGAATCCAGTTTGTCAACAAGTTCTCGGAGTTATTGTCATTGGGCATTCGGACGACGATAAAGTGTAGCCCTATAGTGTTTTTTTCTTTTTCTTTTAGACAAGTTAGTTTCAATGTTGTATGTGTAACACCCGCCTCTTTCTTACGAAAGACGGCATGTTATTAAAATAACTTAGAACACAAGTAACCAATCCAAATAATACTCTTATTAAACCAATTTAAACCGTTTCAACGTAAACCGTATTAAATAAAATCAACAAAGTCGTTTATACTTTAAATAATAAATAGCTTTTAAATAAATAAAAATACACCCATGCTCCCGAAATCCAGCACCACACCAATACCGCTCCTCGACTACTCTTCACACTCACCTACAAGAAGAGAGGGGTGAGTAAAGGGGATTACTCAGTGAGAGTGGGCTTTGAACCCACGAGATCTCCACACACGAATGCAACTACGACTATCACCAGTCCAAGGCTAAGACAAGAAGTCAAACACGTGTCCTACGACACACACTCATCACTCAATAACGCCCTATGGTGCATACACGCCAACTTGCGCAACACTTCACGGTTCCAATGGCCGCCCCATATCACGGTTCTAATGGCCGCCCCATATCACGGTTCCAATGGCCGCCCCATTTCAGATGCTTTATGCGCTGGCATACGCTACATCCCACGGTTCTAATGGCCGCCCCATCGGCTCGTCAGCCCGCCATAGTCTTGATGCTCCCAGCACTACTAGACTAAACACACAACAACCACGGAATAAGAGAATCTCGTTCTCCTATCCGCAGTCCCTCTACTGCGGCTTATCCGCTCTAAGTGCCTTTAGCACAATAAACACATAAATATATTTTATATATTTATAACAATCAACATCACACACACTTCACACATCAGTCATCATCTCAACCATTTTATTTATATATATTATTTTATAATATTTTTATACTAATTTAACTCATCAACAATTACTCTTAAACACATATATAATATATAATTATATATTATTAGCACCCAAATATATATTATGTCATTTATAGCATAATATATAGGTATTCTCGGCTTAATCTTAGACTAAGTAACGGTACGCAGAAACAAACTTGTATGGAGAAAACAGAAACACGTCCTCACCTTAGTCTCTTTGCGGATGAAGCGGAAATGAAATATATCTCAGTCACGGACTTGCACTCTCAACCGCCGAACAACACACCAACAACAGCTACGTGATCCTTACGTAACAATAAAATAACAACAGCAGCTTAGATGGGATGATACGATATCAACATGCACACGTGTTCCTCATAGTCATATGTTATGACCAAATAACAATATGACATAACCATAATGACCGGCCGTACCTTCGGCAACAACGTAACACGACACCAACAGCAGCTACGATGACAACTTATGGAGATGAGGAGACTTGCAGCCTAAGTTACAACAACCATGACAATGTCACATCAAGCTTTGATCACACTCGGATAACAGGAGGTGGAGAAGACGATGAAGAATCAGACTTGCTTACCACGTAGAGGACTCACGGACAAAGCAGTGAATCGGCTGAGAAGATCGGTGACGACGGCGGCAACGGTTGGTGACAGCGGCGAGATTGGAGATGATGGCGAGTAGTGACGAGGGTTCCGAGCTCCGCCGTTTCTCTTCGGGTTAGATCCGTCGACACTACACACGGACAGCGTTACTTCACCTTACGACAATGGTCTCCTCTCACTTCTTTCCTTTCTCCTCTTTCTCTTACTCTCTTTTCCTTTCTCTCTCTCTCTCTCTGATTTTCTTTTCCTCCTTCTCTCAACGACGGCGTGAAATGGTGAGGGTTTCTTCTCACGAGAAATGAGTGAAGAGGAGTGGGCTTTTGGGCTTAAAACCAAAACGAAAAAATTAGCCCAATTTACCAAGTTTCGGGTCGTTACAACTCTCCCCCACTTAGATGGAATTCGTCCTCGAATTCTTCGGTAAGAAGTTTTTCCAAACTTTTACATAATGGTTTTCAAACCTGTGAAACCTTAGTGTTTTCCAAACACTTTTTTTTTCTTCTGTAAAACCCGTTCCTACTGGGTTTCCGACCCATAAGTCCTTTTGATGATACCTCCTCTGATGGTACATTGGTGTCCCTTGATTTACTAAAACCATAAGGAAAAAAAAAAAACTGATTAGGGATTCACTGACCTCCACAAATTTCACCATGAATAGAAAGCTTTGATCCGCTATTGTTTACCCTTCTGTAATGATTTTGAAGAAGGTGGTCTGAGACAGAATTTGAAAAAGTTTGAATTCGGAATGAGGATAAGTAATGATAGCAGACTAAGAAGAGAAGGGTCAAATTGGCTAGGCAGAGGAGACGATTGGCTAGAAGGAAGAAGAAGATGATGAAGGGCTTGACTTGAATTTTCTCTGATAGAACTCTGATCAACATGCAAATCGCCACAATAAAGTCGTAGACAGTTCTGCGTCGCTTTGGTCTCTTCAACAACTATGCAAGAAATTGGTTCTAATGTTTTATTTGGTTATGGGCTTAATTTTGTACTAAATGATGATGATCTGGACTTTAACAGGTATTTGGGATAAAATAGGCGATGAAAATACAAAACCATTTTTTCTATTACAACTTGAGTCAGAACTCAGAACAAAACACACAAGTCCAACAAGGATGAATAAAAAAATGACGTCTTAGTCAAATTTAATGTAATAAAAAGTTGAAAACTAATAATTATCAATTCTATTAACAAAAAAATAACATTATTTTTGAGAAAATTACATACAAAAAGGCACTTTCCAAGAGTTCTTACAATTAAAGGCACTTTCCAAAACAAGGTGACTTTGCCCACTTCTTCTTCTCTTTCAAGAAATGATTATTCCAAAATTGCCCTTCTGTATATTTGTTTTGTTTCTCCTTCTTTAATTTTTACTGTTGTCGGTGTTTCTGAAATCTTTTTATCATCACTGGAAGAACTCGCCGACACTACTTTGCCGACATATACAGTAGAACCTCTATAAAACAATACTCGATAAAACAATAAACACTATAAGATAATAAATTTCTCCGGTCCCAACTCGGGCCAATGTAAAAAATAGCATAATGCGATAAGATGATAAGACAATAATATTTTTGAAACTCCTATGTAAAAATATAGTCCCAACAATAGGCTAAGATAATAATTATAAAACTAAGGCATATATATCTAAGGCAATTTAGTAAAATATGACTCCAATGTAGTTTGTCTTTTATGAAAGTTGGATTCTCGTTGGAGCTCATCTCGAATTTTTCTTATTGCATCAACAATTTCTGGGGCCAAAAGTTGTGAAGAGTTTTCGAAGCCACAATTGATTCCTTACGTGTACCTACTTACATATATTTCTATAAAGTTTCTTGTTTTTTATAGAATATTTTTATAAAATAATATTATTATTTTATCGATAAAACAATAACTCGATAAGATAATAAATTTTCAAAGTCCCAACATTATTGTTTTATAGAGGTTTTACTGTAATAGAAAAAAGACCATAGCGAATTTAAGAAGAAGAAGATTATGGATCTGGAGAAATTCATGACTATGCTCTAGAAAACTACCAATTTTGTCTTCGTCGGAATCATTGATTTAAATGGGATTGAGAACTCACTTGCCAACTCTATTCGATATAGTGATCGTATCCATGTGGATATAGGTAGTCTATTTAACATATGGTTAAATACATTTATACATTCAAAGCATTCAGTCGCCTCATCTATTACATATAGTTTTAGCATCCATGTGGAGAGGGTTGTCTATTTACATATGTTACATCCATTTGTTTATTTCACTGATAAACAGAAGTTAGCACTATTTCAAGCTGCGCTACAATCATTCCACATTCTAATATTTGCGTGTACATGACTGCATGGACACAAAGACAATTAACAACTGAATGAGTGTTTGTTGAGTTATTGTTTATCGCCTAGACTGTTCCATAGAACCGTATCCATACGATTGTGTCCATACACCGATATCCATATGGATATATAACACCTATGTTCATATAAAAGTGTAAATATGGTTCTGAATTTGGTTCTCAGTATATCCAAAACTCAACACATAAGCGTTACAGGAGAGACCAATAGTCACATGAAATCGTGGACAGAAAAGTGTGGACAAGATAACATATACATATTTAGCTCTCTCATTATCTTGGTTTTTCTAGCAAATTTCTTAGGCCGATCTCTCTTTGAGTTTTTCTCATAACTATTCTAATTGCCTTTGAATATTTTTTGTAATTTTTTTTCTTTTTGGTTCTTTTAGAGCTTGTACATAGTATAGATCTTTTTATCCCCACTGTGTGGGATTTGTACCATTACGATTTTATTAAAGAATGTCATGAAGAGACCATCTATCCACCACAAAAATGTAAAAATTATCATAGTCATTTTTATCTAGGGTCGCAAGTCAATCTCGGCTAAGAAACAATGAAAATGTAAAATTATAAGGGTGTCATAAGTGAGACAACTTATCTGTTTGGAGCACATGATACCGTGATCATATTTTCCTAAAGGAATCTTGCGTGGATAAGACTTCTTGTACAGAGTTCCCGGTCCAACTAGCAGCAAAAGTGGGACTCCTTCTCTAAATTAAGCAGTGCCCTCCTGTCGTTTCCTTGTCCATGAGGGGTTTGTACATAATGTAATTTATATGGTGTAAAGCCCATCTAAACTCACTTGTCCATAGTATGTTGACCACCTTTTCACCTTTGATCATTTGTTTTCATGTCTTTGTGAACAAATCTGAATCTAAAAGAAGGGAAATTGATCATTTTATTTCCCAACTATTTGTAATGATAACTTTTATTCTTCAACTATCACTTGCTCACTTTAATTCCTGAAGTGTTAGTTGACTGCACAAAATTATGACTAAAAGGTCAAACTTTGGAAAACAAAAACCAATCTTTGAATAATAGACATAAAACTTTAGATAAATTTGTAAATGTATCATAATTTCGCCATTATACCTTTAAAAAATCTAAATAATTAATTTTAGATAATTGTTTGCAATTTATTGATCTTTAGTTCGAATCCGGTGGATTTCGGGGTTTAAATATGATCATAATTTTAAGATTTCTGTCAAATAATCTATCAGAATTTTAATTTTACTTTTATTTAGAATCATCAAAAAGATTCATAGATTTTTTATTTTAATTTTTTATGTCTAACAATGACAATTCTGATAAATTTTTTATTTTATTTAATATTGTATGTGTATTATTAAAAGTTTGACTTCTTAATCATAATTTTGCGCAGTCACCTCACACTTGAGGAATTAAAGTGAGCAAGTGATACTTGAGGAATAAAAGTTCTCATTGCAAATAATTGGGAGAAATTTTAAGAAATACACCTCTTGTGTGGCAATTTTCAAAATTACATTTTTTCCTAATTTTAATATATATGTTTAGGTTCACTAATCCTTGACTAGGGTTTAGATTTTGGGGTTTAGGGTTTAGATTTAAGGGTTCAAGGTTATATTTTATGGTTTAGAGTTTATATTTCAGTGTTTAGAGTTCTTTTACATAATGAAAATAGTGTAGTTTTGAAAATAAACACCATTGAGGTGTAGTTTTGAAAATTGACACTTAGAAAGGTGTAGTTTTCAAATTTCCCCAATAGTTGGGGAATAAAATGAGCAATTTCACTCTAAAAGAATTTTTGTTCTAACCCGTAACTTTTAAGTTGATTTAATTTTTTAAAATTAAGTTTCTAAAATTGGATATTATTTTAGAGTTTGATTAAAATGTTATTGTGACAACATATGTTTTTTCTAAAGCCTCAACTATACAAATTTTCACATTTGACTAGATCCGTTTCTTTTTTATGTCTCTCGGAAAAAATTCAGACCTAAAAGAATGTTGGTTCTGTGTATATTAGTTGTTTGATCTATAGATTATCGTTAAATTTTTGCATATTCATAATTCAAAATATTCTTAGGTTATATAGGAATATCTTCAGGTTGCAATATCATTTTCGAGAAATTTTAAGTAATACATTTCATGAAGTGTAAATTTTCAAAAATACACCTCTGTTGTGGCAATTTTCAAAAATACACTTTTTCCTAGTTTTAATATATATGTTTGGGTTCACTAATCCTTGATTAGGGTTAGATTTTGGGGTTTAGAGTTTAGATTTAAGGGTTCAATATTAGATTTTAGGGTTTAGAGCTCTTTTATTTGAAAACTCCCCTCATTTTTATTGAAGAAAAATAAAGAGTGATTTACACTCATAGGCACTTATGAGTTTCAATCTTACAATATAGGCACTTTGTGCTCCAATGTAACTTTGGGCTAATGGAAAGACCAAAAACTCCTTCTCTTTACTTTTTACGTGAATTCCACCGCTTCACCTTCTTCCACATTTTTATTTTTTTTTACAACACAGAAATTAAACAGCGAAGACAGAACAACCCTAAAATTCACTGTTCACGTTGCCGGTACCACCATCGTATCCATTGTTAAGTTTTCAGCCGCTATAACCAAAGACTTCTTCCGACGAGGTTTCTCTGTTTGAAGGACAGCTATCCGATAGGAATCTCATCGTCTCAGTGTGCCTTTTGAAAGAAGGATACAAGGAAAACTATGGAAGGTGATTCTAATCTCGCACTCTACTTACTATACACTACAAGAAAAGTGCACATTGATAGCAGATTAAGATAGCACGATCTACGTAAGTGCTATTAAAAAGGGAATGTTAAATGAGGATACTATATATAGAATTATCATAAGTTTAGAAGGAAAAATGGTGAAGATGTCTTTAAATTTTTCTGATTTCTCGCAGAAATTGAAGTTTCTGTCGAAGACTCGATAATCGATAAGCTGACGGAGAAAGATGGGTGTGAAACCTATTTTATCCACGTTCAGCTGTCCATGTAATCTTGGCCACATGTGGTTGGCAATCTGTCGGGTGCAGAATATGAAGGCAACAGCTTTCGTATGTTGTAGTGGTTATCATTTGTATTCATGTATAACATGTATATTCATGACATAAATTCGGATATCCACGCTTAAACCACTTGGTCAGGTTGATGGGGATAAGATTGGTGATTTAAATGTACAGCAGTACATGGACGAGGACCTCGAATGTTTAAAGGAATCTTGCGTGGATAAGACTTCTTGTACAGAGTTCCCGGTCCAACTAGCAGCAAAAGTGGGACTCCTTCTCTAAATTAAGCAGTGCCCTCCTGTCGTTTCCTTGTCCATGGGGGGTTTGTACATAATGTAATTTATATGGTGTAAAGCCTATCTAAACTCACTTCTCCATAGTAAGTTGACCACCTCTTAAAAAGGAGAGTAACAATAATGAGGTGTTTTCGAATTTTTATCAAAACTCGTGAGATTTCATTCTCTTATAAAAGGCGCTTTATCAAGGGAGGGGTTTTTATTTTCATTCCAAATCCTCGCCGGCGATATAACCCTAGATTTGATTCACCTTTGGTTTATCCAGCAATGTCGCAACCGCCGAACATTCATGAGGGTTTGATTATTCATCGAAATAGAACTTACACATAAAACCTCTAAATTAGGTTCGGAAGTTGCGCCGCCAAAAATATTAATGAAACTTTCCGGTTTTCGGTAAAATTCGATGACGTGTCAATATTTTAAAAATAAAATAATAATTATATTTTATTTTTTAAATAATAATAATAAAAAAATCTTATATTTCTCTCTCTTCGTTACTTCTTCTCCTACAAACTCCATGATTCTTCTTCCCACAACACAATCAATTTTTTTTGCCAAAGTTAAATTGTTAAAGAGAGGGATAAATTCACTTTGTGCACATAGAACAACAAAACCGGTGTAGGCACAACAAAAAAATTGAATATTAGAGTAAGGAAAAACAAAATTTTAGCCCCAATTAATTCATTCATTTATGGATGATAAGGCCATGAAATTGAAGGTTTAATTATAGATATATTATAGTTGGGTAAAAAATACAATAGAAACAAATCATATTCGACAACAATTGTAAAAAAAATAAGGGTTCTTCAGTGAAGAACACATTTTCTCCTTTTTTCTTGTTTTTAATCTAGTTTCAGAATCGATTTCGATTTTTTTTTCTTTTTTGTCTTTCCAGTTTATTAATTAAAAAATTTATAAGTAAAAAAATATTAACACGTCATTATTTTTTTTACCGGAAACCGAATAGATTTTGGCGGCGCAACTTCCAAACCTAATTTAGAGATTTTATGTGTAAATATAAATAGTTTAAAGGTTTAAAGTGTGAGTGCAATACCTTTAAGGTTTAAAGTGCTAACTTTTGTCATTTGAAGGTTAAAAATGAGATTTTCCCATTTTAAGTTTAACATATCTCATAGAAAAATTTACAAAAAAAAAGAAAGAGAAAAATAAAATGTTATGGGTTGAAAATAAATAAATCTCATTCGAGTAGTTGAGGCTTAAAAAAATACATATTGTCACAACAACATTTTAATCAAACTTTAAAACAATATCCAATTTTAGAAACCTAATGTTCACAAATTAAATTAGTTCAAAGATTAGAAACATCACAAGTCATAAACCAACATTTCTTTACATCCAGGTTTTCTGCGAGAGACATAAAAAAATAACGAATCTTAGCAAAAGTGAAAATTTGAAATTTTGACCTTAACATATCTTATGGACAAATTTACAAAAGAAGAGCAAAAAAAAATGTATCAAATTGGAAATATATTATTCTAGGTTTCATCAGTACTGGTCACGGTTAACTTCAGATTAAATAAATTTTAATTCGCTAATATTGTTCTATCGGCAACACGTTAAAATTTATATGCAATGATCATGAAAATTAGGTATACAATATCGACAAAATCAATAGTTATCAGTTTCATCAACGAAAAAATTATACATGTTGGGACAAAACTTATCTCATGAAAACAATAATCTCTTACCAGCATAAGTCCATCTATTTTTACCATTATGGCACAATAAGTCTAAATATAGTATATAGCCCATATCATTATTTTATTTAATACTTAGATAATTAAATATTAATTCATCAATATATATCACAAACATACTATAGGTTACATAACTATAATATAAATACTTAAATTTTTATTATAAAAAATTGCAACATCCCGTGCTTCTCAAGCACGGGTCAAAACCTAGTTCAGTATTAATTCAGTTCTCAACAAATGGGAAAAAAACTGGCTGGATTCATGTCGAAACAAAGTACTTAATAATGATGATATAGTTATAGAACTGGCTGATTCATGCCCAATGCCCATACAAATTACTTAATTCCCTATTATCTGTACTATTAAAGTAGAGATACACAACTTAAGAAAACAACCTTAAAAAAATCCCTATCCCTGTTGCCAAACAGGCTAAAACCCAAAATTAACAATTAAATCAAGAAATAAACCCGACCCAACATAAAAACAAACCAGGTATTAGAAAATAAACCAAACGAATCTTATATATAATGAGAGGATATCTCTCTCCATATGAGTGACACGTCAGCTTTCTCCTTCTTCCATCGAAATGCCACGTGACACTTACTCTATTAAAAAAAAAAAAAACAGAAATCGTACTCGAACTAGAATCGTTTGGTTTCCTCCGCCAACCCTAATCTTCCTCCTTCCATTTACGGCAATTATTTTGATGACCGCCGTCTCAAATCGTCTCTCCGTTGGATTCGCGAGTACCAGCGACGGTTCTTCGAGATGAGGCTTCTTCGATGGCGGCGACTGTTGCTGCACTTTCGGTTTCTATTGGATTATCGGAATATAGATTCGGTTCAAAATGGATAAAAATCAAATTCGGTTCAATACGTAAAAGTTAGTGCTTGATAATTTTCGGTTTGTTATGCTAATTTGTTGGTATTAATTTTGTTATTGCAAGTTACAAAATTTGATTCGGTTTAATACGTAAAATACGCGGTTTCATTAGTGCTTCATAATTTTCGATTTGTTTTGCTAATTTGTTGGTATTAATTTTGTTAGTATAAATTTATAAGTTACAAAATTTATTAGTATTAACTTTACAACAGTTAAGTTAAGCAGCGTTGTAATGGAAACCCCCATTAACTGGATGGGTAAAATGTATGGGTAAAATGTAATGTGGATGCAGCATGGAACCAATCACGAAATCACTGTGGGGTTGGATGGGTACTAAGGGACAGGAATGGCAATGTTTTGTGGATAGGAGCACGAAAACTGCCTTTACTGCAGTCTGTTGTGGGAACAGAGATGGAAGCTTTGAGGTGGGCGATTCAAATGGTCAGGAGTCTCAACTACACAAATGTTGTTTTTGAAACAGACTCCATAAAGACTACTGAGATCATCAATAATAGTAGAGATTGGCCAACCTACGAAGCTATTGCTCAAGATATCAATCATCTGCTCAAAAGTCTCCCCAACTCTCAAGTAGTGTTCCAACCAAGAGAAACTAATGGAGTCGCAGACAGTAAAGGAAACAGCTTCTTTTCTGAATTTTGTTCCTAAGCTGTATTCTGTATGCCAAATTGGGTTAGTACCTATGTAAGAGAGGACCAACAAGTTTGTAATCACGCTTTGGTTCAATAAAAGGCAGTATATTTCTGGGAAAAAAAAGCAGCGTTGAAAAGTCTCATTCTCTCTCTCTCATTTTCCCAAGCAAAAATTAGAAAAATACAGAGAATTTTTCTCGTGAAGGCAGAGAGTTTCGAAAAATGCCATCGCCACCGACGACGACTTCTCTCTCGGTGACACACACAATAAACGGATCGCACATCTTCATAATCAAGGGGCTTCCGAAGAGAGTTTTCATTACTTCGTAAGTGACAGCCTCACCGGAGCATCCAAGGAGAAGACGACACACAAGTGGTGGTATACAAGTTATGGCGCCTTTTGGCGGTAAATCTTTAGTTGACGCTGTCTTTGGCATCGGTGGCAATGAAGTTGGGCGGGTTCTGGCCGCAGTGGCCGCCGCTATGTTGGTCCGCTTTTTTTCAGGACCCGCATGGCCCTATTACCCGAGAACGATGCCGACGGTGATTTCTCTGAGACGGAAAGATCAGGAGGAGAGGAAAACGGAGATTTGTCTCCGGGGAGAGTTTGCCCAGTGACAATCCACACCGGTGGAGGACATCACGTTCTCGCTCTCCGATAAGTCCTCCAAATCGGTGAGGACATTTGTTTCCCTTCCATGTTTTGATTGCACATAGAAAGTAAATGATTTATCCATTTCGAGATTGTTTACGGAATCAAAATTGCTTGATTAATGATTATGTGACTCAGTGACTCTCAGGTCCGGTTTTTGCTGAAAAATGTCTCCGGGGAAGTGAAACCTGGGAGATTGCTTGCGATAATGGGTCCTTCTGGATCTGGGAAAACAACTTTGCTCAAAATCTCAATGTCTTAGCTGGGCAGCTTAGTTCATCACCACGTTTGCATTTGTCAGCTCTCTTGGAGCTCAATGGGAAACGGACCACAAGCAAAACTTATAAGTAAATGCGCTATGAGTTATACAAAGTCTGTGTTTAGGTGAAATCTGATTATTGTTTCACAGACTTTTTTCTTGCAATGGCAGGATTGCGTTTGTGAGGCAGGAGGATCTGTTCTTCTCGCAGTTGACTGTGAGGGAAACGCTTTCTTTCGCAGCGGAGCTTCAGCTTCCGGAGATCTCTTCTGCTGAGGAGAGGGATGAGTATGTGAACAACCTCTTGGTCTGGTGAGGCTTTTCATTGATCTCTGCATTTTGGTATATCAGAATCCTGAAATCTGCTTCTTGATTGTCCATTTGTGGCTCTCCCAAAAGGTCAGCTATGCAGATTCATGTGTTGGTGATGCAAAAGTTGGTGGGATCAGCGGTGGAGAAAAGAAGAGGCTTTCACTTGGAATTTTAATTTTCTCTAAAGGCTGCTGCTGCTATCTCAGTTTCAATTGGAAACAAACGTTCTCTTAGAAGATCCGTCTTCAAGGTGATGCATCCAAATCTCTCAAATACCTTTTCTATATCGTACTCTATAAGCATAGAGATTCACACATGAGACTAAACTTTGGATTTGCCTTCTTTAAGCTCGTATTTGTTTGATTCTTGAGTTTGATCATAAACCTTATCCTTGCTTGTGTTGTACCACTTTTTTCTTTTGCAGCAGAACAATAGCATAAGCTTCAACAGTAAGCCATAGTCATCTTCCTTAGCATTGAACCAAAGAACAACAAGCATAGGGGATTCAAAACGATACAGGGATTCAACAATATGCATGTCGGTTCAGCAAACAAGTAGCTCCAAGGTCTCTGTCTCTCCATTGCACTTGTACAAACCCAAGGAATCTTACACAGCCAAGATCGTCTCCATGGAGCGAGTCGTTGGCGCAGACGCCCCATGAGAAACTTGCGAGGTATGGAGATTTCTTTGACGGTAAGACAACGAGTATGTGTGTGCGGAGAGGTGTTTACTACGATCCCGAGACTGGAAAAGAAGATCCTTCAAAGAACGGCGTCTGCAGCAACTTCCTATGTGATTCAAAGCCCGGAGACAAGATTCAAATCTCTGGTATGTTAACTAAATACATATAGACACCTTGAAAGAAGATTTTTTGGACTTAATATAATTTTTTGAAACCAGGTCCATCGGGGAAGGTAATGCTATTACTAGAGGATGATCCAAACGCGACGCACATAATAATAGCCACGGGAACAGGAGTGGCTCTCCTTACAGAGGCTACTTACGTCGAATGTTCATGGAAAACGTACCAAACTACAAATTTGGCGGCTTAGCTTGGCTCTTCTTAGGTGTGGCCAACATAGATAGTCTTTCTCTACGACGATGAGTTTAGCAAGTACTTAAAGGACCATCGGGAAAACTTTAGTTGCTGTCTTAAATGTGGCAAAGTGACCTCCATAAGCAGATCCATTGCAATGATTTAGAATTCCTTGCACATCTTCTTCAGCTATGCATCTTCTGTAGATGTTGTCTGGTCATCTCTTGTACAAGTAAGGTTCATCCCAATAATAGTGCCTAGAATCCTTAAAGAACTTCTTCCTCTTGTAAGCATCAAAATCATTGGGAACCTCTCCAGCCACCATGAAATTCACTATATCAGCATACCAAGACAGATTCTCATCTCACAGAGCCTTGACCTCTTCAAGCCTGACCTTCTCTTCAAACCCTTCCTTCAAAGTTCTGATTGCCATCAGCTGTTCTTCAGGCATAGAATCATTGATAGGGACGTCTTCAACTCGCATCCTAGACAGATGATCAGCAACTCCATTTTCTATCCCCTTCTTGTCCACAACTTCTATATCGAATTCTCGGAGCAACAAAATCCATCTAAGAAGCGTGGGTTTTGTATCTTTCGTTGCAAAGATGTGCCTAAGAGCAGCATGATCTGTGTGGACAATCACCTTTGATCCAACCAAGTAACTTCGAAATTTTTCAAAAGGCAAAGACCACAGCAAGGAGCTCCTTCTCAGTGGTTGCATACTTGCATTGAGCATCATCCATAGTTCTGCTTGGATAATAGATGACATTCAGCTTCTTGTCAATCTTCTGGCCAAGCACAGCTCCAACTGCATAATCAGAAGCATCACACATGATCTCAAATGGATAATCCTAGTTTGGAGCTTGAACAATTGGGGCAGAAACTAGAGCATCCTTCAGCAAAGTCCAAAGGCACTCTTCATCAAACTAAAAATCCACTTCCTTGCATAGAAGTCTTGTCAAAGGCCTTGCTATCTTGGAGAAATCCTTGATGAATCTTCTGTAGAACCATGTATGACCCAAAAAGCTTCTGATATCCTTCACAGTCTTAGGCACAAGCACCTGCAGCATCACATCAACCTTAGCTCGATCGAGTTCAATCCCTTTCTCAGAAATTTTGCGACCCAAGACAATCCTTCTCCCAGTTGAGTACCAGATTTTTCTCTTCACATCTCTGCAAGACCCTGCATAAGTTTGGCAAACATGAGGAAAAGGATGTTCTATAGACTGAGAAATCGTCCATGAAGACTTCTACCATCTCCTCTATCAGATCTGAAAAGATGGAAGTCATGCATCTCTGGAAAGTAGTTGGGGCATTACACAGCCCAAATGGCATCCTTCGATAAGCGAAGGTACCATAAGGGCATTTGAAAGTGGACTTCTCCTGATCATTGAGGTGGATCGGGATTTGGAAGAACACACTGTAACCATCAAGAAAACAATAAAAGGGATGGTTTGCCAATCTTTCAAGCATCTGATCAATGAAGGGAAGAGGAAAATGATCTTTTCTAGATGCAGAATTTAACTTCCTATAGTCTATACACATGCGATGCCCCACTATTGTTCTAGTAGGGATCAGCTCCTCTTTGTCATTCTTTATGACAGTGATTCCTCCCTTCTTTGGGACTCAGTGAACTGGAGATATCCAAGTGCTATCACTGATGGGATAGATTATTCCAGCATCAAACAACTTGAGTATCTCTTTCTTCACCACTTCCTTAAGATTTGGGTTCAATCTCCTTTGAGGTTCAATGCTAGACTTGGTTTCATCTTCCAAATGGATCCTATGAATGGATAAATTAGGAGAGATACCATTGATAGCATCAAGAGTATACCCAATGGCTTTCCTGTACTTTCTCAACTCAACAAGCAATGCATCCAATTGATCAGATTTCAACTCAGAGTTAACAATGACAGGGTAGGTCGAGTTCTCACCCAGAAACGCATACCTGAGGCCCTTGGGCAAAGGTTTGAGGTCGACCTTAGGTGCCTTGAGTTCAGACCAGTCTCCATGGACTTGTTCTTTGCATCCGGTGCCTGGCTCGATCGAGCTTGAAGGTTCACGTCCTAGCCCGATCGATTTCTCGGTCGAGCTTACTGATGATAGGATTTGTGTGTGGATGTGATGATATGTATGAAATGTAAATGAGGTGGAATGCAACAGTGGTATATGAAGTGATGGTATGATGCAAACACAATCACAATCAATCAATTCCCTTAACCATCATAGTCATTGTAGTATAAGGGTTATCAATCCAAAATGGGAAATTGTCACTCTATGAGAATATGAAACAAGAAAGTCAAGCAAGCAGTAATAGATTGGTAACACTAACAACCTAAATGAAAAGAAATGCATGCATAAAAGTAAACAAAGCAGTAAGCAAGCAGCTCGACCAAGGACTCGAGTCGAGTGGGAACAGAGTACCAGCTCGATCGAGTTTAGGGTCGAGTTGAGTAAAAAGCATAAAGGCAGCGACTTTAACAAGCTAATGCGAGAATTAGGGTCTAAGACAGGGTTTTGCAATCAGAGGAAGCTATACTTAATCAATCTTGCTCTTAAAACTTGTATCAAGGCTATCTCTTGATATTGAGCTTCTCAATGCCTAGCAACCCTTTCCCAAGGTGAAAGCTATCAACCAAGGAATGATCTCAGAAACAGGGGGTTAGCCAGTGAGAATCAAGCCTTGGAGGCCATAGGATCATTGCCCAAACTAATCCATCCAACCCCTTAGACCTCCATTTCTAGAGCAAGAGATATTGGAGCTCTTAGTGGATCTTTTCCAGCGATTTCCATCACTTCCATGTGGAGAATCGCCTAAGGACATACAAGCCAGGGGTAGTGGTCATGTAGCCTTAAGATTATCCAAAAGAGAGAGAATCTAGATTAAGACCATAAGCTAGAAGGATTAAGCATATGAAACCTCTAATCTATCCCATCTCAAACCCTAATGGGTAACTACTCACTACACATGAATGTAAACACAAGCAAATGCAATGAAAGAGACATCATAAGAAAGAGGAGATGAAATTAAACAACTTTTATTGAAATAAGCAAGTGCAAATACAAAAGAGATTATCCAGGATCTAGGATTCAAGAAGCAAGAGCTTCAAGAACACAAAGATGGGATTAGAGTCTCTAAAAAGTAAAATACAATTAAAAAAAGCTAAAACAAAAATAATCTAAAGCTTGGTGGTTTTTTCGTGGCTTAGAGCCTTTAAATACAAGAGGATTAGGTTTAGGGTCAAAGGAAAGTCAAGGGGGAAGCAACATTTTTCGGGTTTGACTTTGACTTCTCAGCTCGATCGAGTTGAAGCTTGGCCGGTCGAGGTCGAGGTGGTCGAGCTGGTCTTCAAGATGGCTTCCTCCTTCTTCCTTTGCGTATCCAGTTGAGCTGCGTCCATGCCAAGTCCCTCCATGCTCCTCACGTCCCATATGCTCCAGAATGCTCCAAAAGACCTATTTCAAAGGACCAAACATGCATATGTATGCAAATGCAACCTAAAACTACTATGAATGCATAAGAAGAGAAAAGGAACAAGATATGATGCTAATGGATGCTAAAACTATGCAAAAGATGCATAAAAGATGTACTAAAACTATGTAAAATGCAAGTACATCAACACCCCCAAACTTGAACTTTGCTTGCCCTCAAGCAAACAAATAGAACAAGAAAGAGATGAGGTTTGAAAACAAGTTGATTCAACACTTAAAAACATGTCCTCAAAAGCGATTTGCTAAATGTCCAACTTAGAGATTCTAGAATGCAACAAGGTGAGAGATATTCATTAAGATTTAACCATGCTTATCAACATCAATCCCACTTCACAGTCACTCAAACAATGCATTCAAATCAGCAAATCCCTTTAACATTCATTAAGCAAAAACAGTGAACCAAAAACATGCAAGATCAATCAACTCATTTGGTTTCAAGGGTTTATGGGTTAAGAGACAAAGAGGGTCTCTTTTGTATGGTGGTTTAGTAACAGGGATCTCTCAAGAAAGTGGCTTTGCTTTGGCAGAAGGCTAAGTGTTAGAACCAAAGATGATGCAAGAACAGCAGCTCGAGCCCCTAATCCTAACTCGATCGAGTTCAACACTTAGAGCTTTTTAGAACAAAATCCTAACTACCCTTTTTGGCATTTCGCCTTTGAAACTGAGGAGCTTTGCTCACTTTTCTTTTAAGAACTTCCTAGGGAGAGGCTTCTTGAGGTAACATCTAGCGGTTTGGGATTTTCTAAACACTTAGGGAACTTTTCTTTCTTTTTGACACTTGAGGCTTTGCCTTCTTTTCATTCTACTTAGAACCCTTTTTACTTCCTTTTTTAACTTCCCAAACCTTTACTAGACCCTTTTTAACACTGCCAACTCCCTGGACTTAACTAAACTCTTTTTCCTTTGGATTTTCCCAACTTTTACCACTTTTCTGGTTTTTACACCCAACTCGATCGAGCTCGAGTTGGCACCCCCAAACTTAGCCTGAAAACAATCCCAAGAGAACTAGACAACTAGAACTACTGCCCCTGCCGGTTTAAACACAACACCTTATGCTAAGCAAAGCCAAGAAAGGTTCTCACATTCGCACAAGAGATAATATGGGGTTTGAAATGAAAAGGCTTAGGTTTAAGGTGTGGTAACTGTCTCAAAGATAGAGATCAGCTATCTGGACAAGCAAAGGGATATGAAAATAGGTAAAGAATGTCCAGATATGTATGTGGTAGCCATGAGTTGAAATCAAATGCAAGCATTGGTAATTAAAGATCAAGTTATGGTTCAAATAGATAGGGAAATGCATCAAATCACAGCAATGGTTGAATGAGATGTGCATGCAGTGATATGATCAAGATAAACATGCTGTCTCACCCTAATGCACATCTAATGCACAAGAAATCGCAAATGATGAACAAGTTTTCAAAGTCAAATCAACAATGCAAGTGAAAATGCAATCCTAAACAAGTCTAACAAATATGAATGCAAAAAGATGAAAATATTTTTGGATTTTTTGAAAATTTTATGATTTTTTTGGTTTTTCTATGCAAAAGATAAATGAAAAACTAAGAACAAAGAAAACAAGGTTAAATCATCTCTTGAACCCTCCCCCAAACTTAAATCACACAGTCCCTTGTGTGAAAAATTTAGTGAAAGATTCAAGAGGGCAAAACCAAGAAAAAACAAAACAAAGAAAATATGAAATGGTATATACAAGGGTTGGTGTTTGGATACCTCAGTGCCCCCCAAAGAACTGGGAGGCAAGGTCGTGGTCTGGAGATGGTAGACGGCCATCAGGACACTCCACTCGACTGGGTTGCTCACTCGTCGAGCTTCTTGGCTCGATCGAGTTGTGCCTCGAGTTGCCACTTTCTTCCTAAAACCTGTTCCTGCAAGACTTAGCCGAGAAAAATCAGAGATAAAAGATAAAGAAATATGTACAAGATAGACATGGGAATTCCTCCCAAGTGAGCTTGTTTTAGGTCTCATAGCTTGACCTTACCCCTTTTAGGCCGGGGTTGGATCTTGAAGAGGAGTGATGATCTCCTCTGTGGGGGTCATTCCTAGATATGGCTTGCATCTATGCCCATTCACTGTGAATTCCTTCCCCTCTTGATTGAGCAGAGTGAGGGACCCATAGGGCAAAACTTCGTGATCTTGAATGGTCCCGCCCACTTTGACCTTAACTTCCCGGGAAACAACCTTAGCTTGGAGTTATACAAGAGCACACTGTCCCCAGCCTTGAAGTCCTTAAGGCGGATGATGTACTTGCATTTTACATAGTTTTAGCACATCTTTTATGCATCTTTTGCATAGTTTTAGCTTCCATTTGCATCATATCTTGTTCCTTTTCTCTTCTTATGCATTCATGTTAGTTTTAGGTTGCATTTGCATACATATGCATGTTTGGTCCTTTGAAATAGGTCTTTTGGAGCATTCTGGAGCATATGGGACATAAGGAGCATGGAGGGACTTGGCACATGGAAGCAGCTCAACTGGATACGCAAAGGAAGAAGGGAGAAGCCATCTTGAAGACCAGCTCGACCGTCACTCGACCAACCGGTCGAGTTCCTCAACTCGACCGGCCAAGCTTCAACTCGATCGAGCTGGGGAGTCAAAGTCAAACCCGAAAAATGTTGCTTCCCCCTTGACTTCCCTTTGACCCTAAACCTAATCCTCTTGTATTTAAAGGCTCTAAGCCACGAAAAAACCAAAGCTTTAGATTATTTTGTTTTAGTTTCTTTTAATTTATTGTCTTTTACTTTTTAGAGATCTAATCCCATCTTTGTGTTCTTGAAGCTCTTGCTTCTTGAATCTTAGATCCTGGATTAATCTCTCTTGTATTTGCACTTGCTTATTTCAATAAAAGTTGTTTAATTTCATCTCCTCTTTCTTATGATGTCTCTTTTATTGCATTTGCTTGTGTTTACATTCATGTGTAGTGAGTAGTTACCCATTGGGGTTTGAGATGGGATAGATTAGAGGTTTCATATGCTTAATCCTTCTAGCTTATGGTCTTAATCTAGATTCTCTCTCTTTTGGATAGATCTTAAGGCTACATGACCACTACCCCTGGCTTGTAAGTCCTTAGGCGACTCCCCACACGAAAGTGATGGCATTCGCTGGAAAAGATCCACTAAGAGCTCCAATATCTCTTGCTCTAGACAATAGAGGTCTAAGGGGTTGGATGGATTAGTTTGGGCAATGATCCTATAGCCTCCAAGGTTTGATTCTCACTGGCTAACCCCCTGTTTCTGAGATCATTCCTTGGTTGATAGCCTCCACCTTGGGAAAGGGTTGGCTAGG